GTAGTCCGGCAAGAATTTTCCAATGCAACCTTTTTCAACTGCTCCATGGTTTCTCTTTTTCGTGTCAAACTGCGCTGTGTTAACGCATGTTCCTTTTTTAACCCAGACCTTTCTTTTTTTTTTTTCTTTCTTGGAACCACAAATTGGAATATAATAGCCATAATAATTAAATAAATTGAAAGAGAAGCAGTGCAGGAGAAAATATTATTAGAAATTAAAGGCTTCTGTTAATTTTGAATGTAGTAGAATATAAATATTGATTTGCAACATATAAAATTGAAAACGTAGATAACATTTAATTTCCAATTCTTGTTTCACATGAATATCACATGTAGACATAAATAATCATATCTTAGAATGTGTTGAAGCACAATAATAATAATAGAAGACTTCAAACTTCTAAAATGAAGCACAATTGTAGCACTTACCTCCACCTAAACTTCCACTCACCATACTAGGATGGTGCTTTGAAGAATTCTTAAAGGAAGCAAAATTGTATTACTTTGGTGGAAAATAAAATCCCCTTCTCAAGCATAGATTCAACCCCTCCTTTTGCTTTTATCTTTTGTTTTGCCCAAACCAAAATCCAATTTTTGAACTAGTACCTTAAAAGTAAGATCTCAGAATATCCAACTAGATATATTAAATAAAATAGTAACCAAACTTTAAGGTTGTTGAAAATATAATTAAAATTAATGCTCAATCCACCATATGAAGGGAATGTCTGCCTCTGTCCCCATATTTTATATATAACCATTCAAAAATAAATAATAATAATAATAAAAAAAAAAAAACTTACTTTGGTTGTGCTTGGTAGCAAGCTCCTGAGCTTAGCGAGATGATTATTAATCCTTTCTCTACGCCTCCTCTCAGCCTCGCTGTGACTTTTAGAAGCCGCCAGGGCCTTTGCGTCCATTATCTCCTGAGCCGTCATTTTCTGGAGCTCCGCGTGAAGCCCGAACGGGCCAGCAGGGCCCGCCACGTGGCCCAAGGACTCCGTGATCAGCCTCAGATGGTGGTCCGAGCTCGGCCCGCTCTCGTACCCGAACGGCCTTCTCGGGCTGAACAGGCCCGGGGGAGGGGGAGGAAGGAGGAACGGGTCGGGATCCCGGGCCGGGAAGTGAGCTGGCCCGAACGGGTGCGGAAAATTCCAGGGCAGTATCTGGGGCGAGTCATCTGGGAAAGCGAGGGCTGGGCCCGGCCCGCCGTCCGCGAAGAAAGCATCTAGGCCGTTGATCATGTTCTGCTGCATCATATTCTGTAGAGGGAAATTGGGCGTTTGATGATCCTGTGCTTGGAAACCCCCGCCGTTGTTTTCAGATGAAACGTGAGATGGGTTTTCTTGGTTATTCTCTAATTTGTTGTTGTTGTTGTTGTTATTGTCGCACATAATAGTAGTAGTGATATAATCCAAAACCCCCAAAGTGGAACTCAATTCATGTGTACATGTTTATATATATATATATATATGATTATATGGGGTAGGGAGTGAGTTTTTGTGTTTGTGTATG